GTGGTAGTAGATGCCTGGCACTCCTTGGTGATCATGGTGATAGGATCGCTTCGACATTGAAGCTTCCATTGTATAAGAAACCTGTAGTGGTACTGCCGCTGGACCAGGGAAAGCAACTGGTCGGTAGTGCTTGGTGGGTTTATTTGCTGGGCACCAATCAGGGCAAAAGCCACCCCGATGATGATGCTGATACTGATCCATTTCCATGCGGGAAGGTAAGCAGATGCTCTTATAAGATTGTTGTCTCTGTTGAGGTGCTGGAGGCCGAGGTGGTAGGCCTATTGGAACAGAATAAGATATTGTCTCAGGTTGCAGTTCAGTCTCCTGGATATCGGGCGAGACTGCAGGAGAGGATCCACTTAGAGAGCACAAGCCTTGCTGGGGGCTGGCAGGAGAAGATGTAAACTGGTCAACCTGTTGCTCCCAGTTGGGAGACTGGGATGGAGATGGTTGGTGAGGTGGGAGTCCCTCTTCATCCGAGACAGAACTCACACAGACAAGATCTGGGGAGATAGCCTCAGGAGGCTTCTATCTCGAGGATTTAGCCTTTTTTGGTGGTGAGGGCTTGGGAGCTGACCAAGCATCTGGAGATGGTTTTTGTTTGGTGGCTACCTTCGATGTTGACACTGACTGTTTAGGCTTGTGCAGCCATGTGGAAGTCGATGGTGGACTGGTCCGAACGGGATGGGGTGGAAGAAGGATGTTGTTCGGTCACTTCAGAAATGGCCTTGTCCATGGCTTTGGTGTGTGGGATAGATTTGCATGAGGACTGAGCCATAGGCTTGGTGGGTTGGAGGGACTGTTCCCAAGGCCGAAGCTTGAGTCTGGAGAGGCAACTACAGAGAACTCCTCGCTTAAAATCTTTGCAATGAGGGCACGAGGAGGTTTGGTGGGCCTCACCAAGACAGAAATGAGGAGGTTTGGTGGGCTTCACCAAGACAGAAAAGGCATTTCGCGTGGCTGTCCGAAAAGGGAATTTTAGCACTTCGCGTGGCTGTCCGAAAAGGGAATTTTATTGTCACAGACCACACAGCACTTAAATGGCCTGAAAAGGCCATGAACCAAAAGAAAAACCACAGGGGGGTGTTTGCAGTTGGCTGCAAACAATAAACTGACAATAGCAAATAGATGGCTATAAAGAAAAATACTAAGGAAAATAATAACTTTCTTCTTTCATTTTAGAAAGGACTCACAGAAGCGTATGATAGAGGCTCTCAATGCGGTGGTTGAAAGAAACTGAAGCAAGAGCCTTGGCACCAAGGTACATATACCAAGGGGGAGAGGTCTGCACCAATGTATCTTTTTGCTACTGCAGAAGCTCTAGAATGTTCCGATGAGGCTCCACACATGCATGGATTACCCACAGTGTGATTCACAGGGGCCATGAAAAAGAACATGTATGTAACCCCCCCCCACACACTAAAATATATAAAGCACAAAAAACATGGAGTAACAAGAGGACAAACCACAAGCTACAATATGGAAAATCAATTTTTTAAAAAATTTAAAATATTGCTTGCCCTGCTTTTCTCTTGAAAAAGGAACCCAGTGGCTTATATCATCAAAAAGACAAACAATAAGTACACAAATATTTAAAAATAATAATCCAATAAAATCAATACTAAAAGCAACAAGGCAGTAAAAATAATAATCAGTTATTATGTAACAATGATAAATTAAAATCAATACCAAAAGCAACAAGGCACAACAATCCATTTAAAAAAGAGCCCTTTCAGAGACCCAGTCACTAAGGGAAATCCTGCCTAAAGAGAAATCTGCTTGTGGAATGATATTGAAAGACAAATAGAGATTAGCTCAAGGGGCCTTAACTATCCCCATCATATACACATCAGGAAGAACATGAGACGATACACCCTCCACTAAAACATAAGAATAGGTGGAATGTCCAGCAGAGGATAAAGAAAAAAAAGGGACAGTTAAAAAAGAAAAAGAAAAAAAAGGCTCTTTTCTCCTGTATATTTTAGAAAGCACTCCAGACCTCTCGGATACAAAAGAGCAGCACTGTGCCTGGGTGGCATCCAATAGACCCAATCAGTGCAGATGCCGTTTTTGGCAGCACATGGATTTCAAAGGCAGCAACGGCAGAGAAACAATCATCCATTTTTGGATGCTTTGGAAAATGCATGAAATCTATGAAACAGGTACCTCAGAAATTTCCTCTACCTTTCTCAAGGAATGTCTAGAAATAACTGGAGGGTGGTTAAAAAGCAGAGGAAATACGTTGGCAAAATCACCTAGAGATTGTTGTAGCTGAAAATCTTCCTGCCCAGAGAACTATCCTGGTGGGAAGGAAGAAAAGCCTTCAGTTTTCATGCTAGAGATGTGCAACCCAAATAGAATCAGAGGGCCCCATATGTGTGTGATAAATTATGCACAAAAGAGCAGTAAGGCTATTTTATAGCAATTGTGGAACGCCAGATTCAAAATTTGTAAAAAGTACTACTCTCTGCAGGTGAAAAATATAAAAATGTGGCTCAGCACTAAGGCGATTCTGGTTAGGTGACAGCAACAAAAAACAGCACATAAAGGGACAGACCCTCGAGAAAACAAGATGCCATATGATCTAAGAGAGAAGATATGAGTGCCTTATGGGCTCAGTTTTGATTTCAGGGGAGAAACCTATAGATAGAGGAAGAAGAAGTGCCAGTCCCCTCCCCAACAGAAACTTTTAATTTGTGGGTGTCCAACGAAGGGTTTATATCTCCAGCAGCTTAGCAGTTAATCCATATCAACCACCTGATATTTAAGAGTGCTAGCATTGCACCCTTTCATAAGGCCTACCTAGAGGAATGCAAGAAGCATCTTTACCCTGTCCTCTCTAGGAAGTCTGCTCAAGGACTAATAGCATGGCGGGGGGGGAGAGAAATATTTGTGTGAGCTGGCTCACAGAACTTTCTCAGAGTAACCACTGCTGCTCAGCCTCTAGCTAGTCATATCTGGATAGGGATGGATGATGGGCCCTTATGAGATCCTTGTATTAGGACACATGGATGTCTGGACCAACAGGAATGTACTAGAACTGCTTTTGCCTTCACCTGGTACAACCTCCAAATGAGACAAGGAACTAGAAGGGGAAGAGGAAAAACATAAAGCAGAGTACAAAAGTTTGTTTGTTTGTTTGTTTGTTTGTTTGTTTATTTATTTATTTATTTATTTATTTGATTTATACCCCACCTATCTGGACTACCAGTCCGCTCTAGGCAGCTTAAGTTGGGACTTAACAAATCCTCCACTTGCATTGTCCTTGTACAACCAGACTGTAACTGTTTTGCCTTTTCCTGCCAGTTTTATTCCTGAAATTAATACGAGATATCCCTTGAACTAAGAGAGGGACTTTGTGGCCTTGTAATTCATCTTGTTTCACATTTTGCTTCCTTGTTTGTCTACATAAGAAATTGGTAAACACACAGTGCAACCTTATGATACATGATGACCTAGGTCTCTGAAAAACCTTAGAGACAAAGTCAAAAGACTGATGCTCAGCCAGGTTTATTAGATTGATCATATTTCCACTCTTTGTAAGACCACTGCATTAGGTAGGCTCTGACAGGACAAAGCAGCTGCCAGCTGATCTAGTCTTTCAGCCTTTTGACCCGTGGTGAATGACACTGCACAGGAATCCATAAGGAGCGCAACCAGATTTCCTAGGCATTCCAAAACATGCAGAAGCCAGGAAAAAGGCAGTGCCACCACATCTAGGTCAGATCTGTTTTGAGGGCCTACTAGGTTCTTGTAGCCCAAGCCTCCTCAGAATGCCTTTATTTAGGTGCACAGTGCTTCAGCCTAGTAAGGACGGCCCCCCTACCTTCAGCAGAGACAGGAACAGCTTTTTCCCCATTAGATTGTCATGCCTGCAACTTGTGTTTTCACCCACTTAGTATTTCAAGTACATTGGTTCCTGAACCCTGAGCCCGGGAAGCAGATACCCTGCTAGGAGAGGCTCCTCTAAGCCATAACCTCAGTGGGCTTTAGAGAACTCGGCTGCTTTTGGGACCAGACAGGCTGAGAGCTCTGTTTTCTCTGCGGCTGATCCCATTCAGTCATTAATCTGAGCCTATCCTAATATTTATCCAGGTGAAACATATTGTATTCCAGGAAGTAAAAGGATTTCTATCCTACAGGAAGGAATGGGGGGGGGGAACCCAGCCATTCTTATTCCCCCTCTATGCCCCAGAAGAGATACAGGAAAAAATAAAAGCAGCAGCACCCTTTGTTAAGGAACAGAACTGAGCACAATTAAGAGGAAAACAAATTCAAGTTTCCTTCTATATCATCACCCAACAGGTCACCTCTTTAGATAAATCACATTACTCAAAGGAATTGTGACCTTGCAAAATACAAAAATTAAAGGGGCATGTTCTGTATCTTCCATTCTCAGCGGAAGTGAAAGCCTGTCCTTAGGCAGAACTCTTTTGAGCAATGAGAGGTTTCTGTTCCTTTTGAAATCAAGGAGACCTGTAAGAGAAGGTGTTGGTGCTTTCCTCCAGTGAAGCAGGAGTGATAAGATATGAAAGCACTACAAGCAGTTCTAAAGTGCCTGGCAGAATAAAAAGTTCTTTATTTGGTATCGCAAAATCCATTAACATAGGCACCAGTTACCCTTGGCAGTTGTAGTATTTGAGGCTTAACAACTTTCAAAAATGCCTTGCTTGACAAATGCTTTCCAGACGTTCTTGTTAAAAGGAACTCATATCCTTTCACCTGTGCTGGGATTCTGATTTGTTTCCCTGACTTATTATGCCTCATCAGCCTCAGTACAATTCGACTGCTATTTCACATGGTGACTTTTCACAAAAAGAAAAATGCCAATTATTGTCAGTAGATTTTCTTGTGCAATCTCAAGCAAGAAAAAAAGAAATTATATTTAAAACAGGCAAACATCTTTGTTTTGAATTATTTTTAAATCTCTGTTTATGTGTGGCAGGCAAAAAAGATGCTATTCCTACATAATTATTGATTATGGAAAAAGCTAAACCTACCACATCAACTCCAGGCTTCCCAGGAGGCAATTTTGGACGAGACGGGGGTCTAGGTGGAGGAGGTGGAGGAGTAGGGCTACTGCACGATGCCAGAGGGGTTGCAGGACGAGCAGGAGATGATGACCCTGAAATAAACACATATTATAAATAGGTGAAGTTGTTCCAACTCCAGTTCCCCTGACCCTCAGTCAGTTCCCCTCAACATACAGCAGGCCATCAAGCAATCAGTTGCCAGTCCAACTTTTGATCTAAGTTGGTAGCTACTGCATAACAATACAATTCATATGGGTGGATGGGAAATGGATGAAGTCAGAAAGTAGCTAGCAGAACACTTAACCATAAATGGGAAAGCTTATTTCTCTGCTGTTTTGCTAATGACTTTTTCACATGCACTTGACAGTGAAGACACAGAGGCTGTGGATCATGCATTGCCCCTATACAAACATCATTAACTTAAACTAGGAAGCCACATTAGATGAACTACACTTTTTCATGGTTTGTCAAAATACCAAAAAAAAAAAAAAGGTTGGGTATTGTTAGCACTTAAGGTCTGTCCTCTTGCTACCCAGCAAGCTGTTCTTACAATGCAGACATTACTGGAAATGCTGTTGAAAGTTAGGACATAACAATTAGGTCCTAAAGATTTAAGAAAACAATGATTTGCAATGAATAGCCAAGCCCTGCGTTGTTCTTTTTATGTGATTTGAAGAAGCTAGCAAACAAAGACTGCTAACATGAACAGAGTGATGAAAAGTCTGGATATTTGAGAAATTTAAGTTATTTAAGAAACTGAACAAAGTGCAAGTTTTAAAGAAATAGAAAAGTCCGTCTCTTCTAAAATAATTTCTACAAAAGCGTATAATTATTCCCCATCCCTCACAATCATATATTGATGAAAATTAAGCAGGAAGAGATTCTTAAATTGCATACATCATGTGTTCATGTAAAACTAGTTACTGCTGAAAATAAATGGAGAGCAAAATAAAGTTCAGCAATATTGTTCTGAATGATATAATTACTCTACAAAATCACCCTGCCAGCTCTCACCTAAATATAGGTGCATTAGTTAACATTAGAAATTGGCTGAAGAGGTCTTTTATGTCAGGATCTCAAATTACTGATAGGGGAAAAATTGAGTTTCTGTAGTGTTGCTCATTTGCAAGTTCTTAGTAACATCAAAGCCCTGCTGTCAGAGGAGGAATTCATGCTGTGGCTTCCTTCCATTCTAGCATTATTCATCTTCTACACTAGAACAATAGTTGCATGGGAAGGATCCACAGCATGGGCTCCTTGTACATACTGTGAATATATGACAGACATTATCGAATGACACAGGAAGCAGATAGGGCTTCAGTCTCTGTCATGTTGCTAAAGGGGACATAAGAAATGGCTATAAAACTGTTCCTTTCTGTTTCAGCATTCCAGCATACAATTGAAAGGGAAATGGCTAGTATATATTTCTGAAAGAAAAAGGATTTTAAATGGAAAAGCACAATATGTTTCATATTCAGAACATCAGTTCCCTTGTGTTTTGGGATACTGTTGAACTCAGTCCTTTAAAGTCAAATCAGATATTGGCCGGTTTATTAAATCAGTGTTACAATGCTGATAAGAAACACTGGCCGATCACATGCTTCATGAAGTCAGTGGAACACACACCAAAAACACATTGTTACAGGAGAAAGTGGATGTGTGGAGTTCTGAAAACACAGCACTAGAAATCGTTACGAAATGATGTTACATTTGCTAAGCATGCCCTGAATATTTCCTTTAATTCAGGTAAGGTCTAGCAAAGGTTTTAAGAATTTTAAACATTTCTTATTAAATGACATTTAGGACTCCACTGTGCTCAGGTGTAAATTTTTGTGCACTAACATCACTTTTTCTCTCTCACTGAAAGACTGCTGAATCCTAGTTTTGCGAAACATTTGTACAAATATTCCCAGACTACTGTAGAGCTTTGAGCTTCCCTACTGTTGATTAATTATAGAAGGGACGGGGAAAGAATGGCCCTCTAGGTGTTGTTAGGCAATAAGAGCTTACTTTTCTGTACTCCTGAAGCGGTAGGTAGGTAGGTAGGTAGGTAGGTAGGTAGGTAGGTAGGTAGGTAGGTAGGTAGGTAGGTAGGTAGGTGTGACAATATTACCATCCTGCAGTAGCATGTATCTCACAGAGCTATGACCTGTCCCAGGAAACCCTAATGAAACAGATGAATCTTATAGAAGTACACATTTGTTAGCTGGTGATTAAGAGGACCAAGGAGAGCTTTACATGTAAGACATGTTTCAAAATAATGTCAAATCTTTTTTTATATACCATCTGCTTATATCTAATCAATTTTAAAAATGTATAGTTTTTAAGGATATAAATCAACAGGATTTATTTAAAAGTTTTTCAGTGGCCAAAATAATTTTATTTAATTATGCTGGTGTAGCACAAACAGTGTATATTCTGGAGATAATTGCCTTGTGTTAAGAAATCACTGTAGACACCATCAGTTGCCTACTGAGTTGTGTGACCTAGCATGCAAGTGAAAATCTCTACAGTAATTTTGTTACTTGGGGCAATTTGTCTGCAAGTTAATGCAAGGGGATTCTCCCCCCCCCATACAGTGGAACCTCTACTTAAGAACTTAATCCATATTGGAATGATGTTCTTAAGTTGAAACGTTCTTAAGTTGAAGCAAAATTTCCCATAGGAATGTATTGGAAACCGATTAATCCGTTCCGGCTGTTTTTTGTTCTTATGTAGACCTTACAAAAGCATTTGATCTGGTTAGCAGGGATGGCCTTTTTAAAATACTTCCCAAGATTGGATGTCCACCTCGTCTCCTTAACATCATCAGATCCTTCCATGAGGGAATGAAAGGCACTGTAGTTTTTGACGGCTCAACATCAGACCCCTTTGACATCCAAAGCGGAGTGAAACAGGGCTGTGTCCTCGCACCAACACTTTTTGGGATCTTTTTTGCTGTCATGCTGAAGCATGCCTTTGGATCCGCAACCGAGGGTGTCCTGGTGGTAACTTCACTGAAAATAAATTTCCACTTCAGATCAATAATTAGGTTCCTAATTTGCATCAATATATTACAGAATTCAGAACATTTCCAACAAATGGGCTTGAGTCTGTAGACCTTCAATTTGTTGATAATGGAAAAGGACTTTGCTGATCCAAACAACAGTGTAGAAGCTTTGGTGGTCAGTGAAGTTCTATTTTTCCTATTATTAAGCACATGTGACTAGCTTCTAGTTCATGCTTAATAAACTCCACTAAAACTTTCTTAATTTATGTTGAAGAATTCAGCATATTTGCACAGGATTAAGTCCAATTATTATTGGTGAAAATGAAATATACAGAACTGTCCTTTGTCCCAATCCAATAACAGCAAATCTACTGTAATGAGGGAGTGTTTATATCAAGCACCTTGCCTCCATAACCAGCAGTCCTGGAGGGGTATGCCCTCTGAAACTCCACAAAGCAAAACAAAAACACTGTGCTATGAGGAATTGTTGTTGTTATTCAGGAAATTTGCTCAGAGAAAAGAAGGGTATGTGTGCATGCACATCTAGTACTATTTCAGATTTTGTCTTCTGTTTGATTGAAGAAGGGTCTCTGCTTAACAACACCATTCCAACTATTAGGCGAAGTAAGACAGTTGCCACAAGCAGCAGATTTTGTGCGTCACAAAAGGCAGAAAATTATTTGGTACTTGTTGGCTATTTTTACTGCCAGAGATAGGGACAAGTACTTGTGGGATTTTTGTTGTTGTTGTTGTTCATGTGAAACCAAGTAAATTAGAAGGATTTTGATTCTATGTACCTTGACTGGGCCAAGGAAACAATATTTGCTGTTCTGTCTCAGACAGCAAAAGATCTTGAGTGATCATTATTAAAAAAAAGAAATTTATTTATTTATTTATTTATTTATTTATTTATTTATTTATTTATTTATTTATTTATTTATTTATTTATTTATTTATTTATTTATTTATTTATTTAATGTCCTGACCATCTAGACTGAAGTCTATTCTGGGCGGCTAAATGCATGGGCCATTTTAACTAATCTGATGCAAATTGTTCTGTAAGAATGGTAAGCTGAGTAGACAATACTATTCTGAAAGGGGAATAGGGCTCCCAAAAAAGAGAGGAAAATTTCATTATATCTTACAATGGTGCCGGTGGGAGCAGGGAACACTTTTTGTGTAACTAAGGAGTTTTGAACAATTTCTGTTGTTATTTTTTTTTTGCGATTTATGGTTTTTATTAAATAACATTCATTTATTTATTTTTAAAGTACACAGTGGATAGCCTGGCCTTGGCACTTCCACTTCTGTGGCTAGAAACCATAGACAGTTGTAAAACATCATACACATGCTTTTCAAGATGAACTAATGAAGCGACCATTAAACTTCAGGAAATACACACCCTGCATGAGGACTAAGAGAAGAATCATTTCTTTCAGATTAATTCAAAACAACTTAGGCAAATATTGACAAACCTTAAGTAGTCAGATATATGTTTTCAAATTTAGTTTAAAAAAGATTTTTTAGAAGCTTGATTCTGTCACATTTCATGGTGGTATCCTCTATCACAAAAACAGCCACACATATTTACATATTTAAAAAATGTGTACCCCTGCAGCATGACCTCTTCCAATTTGAAGAGACCCTTGTCCAGCAGGCTGAGGCAAAGAGGCAGTCCTGATACCAACAAAATCAGTAAACTGGACAGGGGACAGATTGTACTTGTTTTCAGCATGGAAGGGATTGTGACTCTCGAATTGGCCTTCTCAGCCACACTAGACGCTGTTCCATAGGCTCTTGAGACTGAAGGATGCCTACAGAAAAACCCCTGCTTACTCATTTCAGCTGTACTTAAAGAGACAATCAGCCCTAAACTAATGAAACATCACATTCTGGATTTTAATATGCAATATCTTCTTTAAAAAGAAAACCACCATGTACAGTATGCTGTTTTTAAAGAACAATAGCATTTGTTTTTCTCATTAGAATGACATGAGTGCAAATTTGGCTGGACCTTTTAAAATTTAGGTTTACTTTGAAATGGGATTTCCTGCAGCTCTACATCTAGCCAGTCTTTCTTTCAGTTTCCCTCTCTAAATAAAAAACAAACAAATGAGGAGTACGACGCACAAGGAGGAAAGACTTAAGTTCCTGGTAGAAACGAAGATGATATTGGCTGCACAAGGAAAGTTTCTATTGGTCGCCACTGGTATATTTTCCTCCAAGAATGAAGAGATATGTGGTGTTTTTCACAGCTGTTATTAACAGCAAAAAGGAACAACCACCACCAAATAAAATGCAACTTCAAGTGACACACTTATGCTCAAATTCAGTTTGTTCATTAATTTTAAATTAACTACAATTTGCTCTGTATGAACCTCTGGCATTCTCTCTGAAACATAAATGTGGGCAAATTTACTTAGGCAATCTTGGAACAAAAGTGATATTTGACAGTATTCACTCTTGCTTCTTGGACGACAGTATGTAGTTAGGTCACTCTGCTCTCATTATCAGTAACCCATTACAAGACATTTCATATGCTTTGGGGGTGCTGCTTTGAAAATTCAATATTAATCTCTCATTTTATTCTAGATGGGAAATGGCATCACACACATGTCTTTCAATGACCCAGTGAAAAGAAATTCCCTGACATGCTTTTGTTACTGAAGACTCAACATTGCTGAAGGTTAGATTTGCTGTAGGTTACGATTCCCAAGAGAGACACAGGTAGCATTCATCAGGAAAGAAAACCTGCTAAAGCTTCTTCTTTTTTTTTCTGATGGAAATAACGAAATGTATATGGGCACCTGGAAAGAGAGAGCAATTTCTCTTACAGAAAACAAAAATTTCTTGCCGGGTAGAAATGAAGCATGAGACACATTGAGAGAGGTCAAAGTCTCAAGTAGCTATTTTCTTGTTTAGAAGGTTTGATAAATTTAGATAATTCCTGACAAAACAGACAGCTTTTCTACCTTTACCTGTAATTAAAGATGCAGAGCTCCCCCATAAACATTAGACACTGAGCAATGGCAGGGAAATAACACATAGTATCAAGGGCTTAAGGTTAAGTTGCACCACAAGAGCACAAAGTAAAAAAAAATGAAAGAAAGCCACTGGGCACAGTACAATCAAACAAAGGGAATGACTGATGCTTACAAGCCAATCAACTAAGAGTAGCTAAGAAGGATTTGTGTTCACACGGCAGCATTCACGGCCACACTGAAGCACACTCAAAGCTGTTCAGACATACCGCTGGTGCTTCCTGTGCCACCGCCAGAGCTTGGTCCGGGTGACGACACCACTGTTCTGTAGGTAGGAGGTGGAGGGGGAGGCGGTGTTGCTCTCTGTCCCACTCCAAACTCCTTAGGAGATGGTGCTGGTGCTAAGTTATCATCTTTAACGTGGGTCTGCTCAGAAACTTTCTTCTGAACCTCTTCTAAATTGAGTGGAGATGGAACACTGCGAGAGGTTTCACCCTTTGGAGGCTCATCTGGGGTTTCTGATGCCACAGGTGAGGACACCCCTTTTCCCCTTGAAGTCACCTCTGGAGTTACGTTTTCCGGGGATTGATCAGAAAAACTGATCCATTTATCCTCCGCGTTAGCAGCAACAGACTTGGGGGATAATACTGGGCCAAAAATGTTGTCCAAGTCATTGATTGATGGTAGTTTGTCACCTTTGACCTCTGTTTCTGTCTGTTCATCGCCTGTGGTCAAAGTAGTTGATTTTAAACTTTAACATCAATTTGTACAGCTAAGTCGTACTAATCTTCTACTTAACATATGGGGATTTTAAAGTCAGCTACAATCTAGCACAAACATTTTAACAACATATACGTAAGGTCCTACTGGGAATATAATTAATGTGCATAAAGGTCTAAAATTAATACATAGCACTTTAAAAAGTACAATCCATGTAAACCATCTTGCAGAGCATTTTGTCTACACAGTTTATTCTCGTAAATATACCCAAGAGAATATATTGTTTTCTAGGAAAATTGCCTGGATAATAGCCAACACGCAAACTTTATCTGTAATGATTATAGACAAAAATGGTGAAGTTACCTATAATGCAAAATGATGTTTTGCAAACAGATATGAATATTTTCAATTAATATATAGCTACACAATATATATCTGTCACTTGTAGTATATCTTGTGGTAATATCTGAGTACAAATAAGAATAAGGATAATTATAACACTCATTTCTTGAGCTGGGCAATCCTGAGCTATATGATTACTACCTGTTATATTTACAATACATAGCAGAGCCAGTAGAGATTTGTTTTAGAGGAAACAGATTTTTTCCCCATCTATATGTCCTACTGAAAAGTCCTATAAGAATATCAGGTCTGGAAAATACTTTGTAGCCTAAATGTTCTGTATAAATGAGAAATAATTGATAAATTTATACTGAATTGTTTTGGAGCATGTGAATGTTAACACACTGATCTAACTCATTATTTTCTATGAGAGGGAATGCTTAAATGTTCAATGTTCTAATCAGTAATTAGCTTTTGGTTGGATGTGACCAAGAAAAAAAATAAGGGAATCTGAATTCCTCTGAAATCTGTGGCATTTTTCTTGGTATAATTTTTGCTGCCCTTTTTTTCTAGTCTAGTAGCCACAGTTTTGCAATTCTAACTATATATTATCCACATCCATTTTGGAAAATGCTTATCTGCACACAGATATATATATATATTTTCATAGAGTGGGGCTCCTTTGCATGTGCAGACTTCTAGAGCACTATTCACACTTTTGGAATAGGACTGAACTGAATATGTGAGAGATGGGAGTATGCAACTGTAACTCCTTTCATTGTCACTTTCCATGCAATTGAAAGTTCAAATTCTTCATGGTCCGAGATTTCTATGAAAGCCGCCATGCATAGAGCTTTCCCTCTTGAGCTGTCACTCCGCATGTGAAGAAAGCAAAACTGGAGGCAGAAGGGCTGACATACTCTTCTCCCACAGATCCAGTTTAACCTTATTCTGAATAGTTAGGGATAGGAAGACAGCCAATGTGTTTAGTATGAGGATGAACCTGCTGCTCCCGTGAACTTGTCTGTATTATGCTGTTCTTGCTAAGAAAGCAAATTATGGGAGCAAGATAATGTAAATGCTTGCTATCTACAAAGGGTGTTCAACATTTCATTTTAAAATGTTACTCGTTACTTCTGGGCACCCACATTGCTGTTATTGTTATCACTGTTCTCATTGTGCAAGGCACCATAATTTGGTACATTGTCATATTATACAGTATATGTATTACATTGTCATTACCACAGTTGTAATATACTAAATTTAAAGACAAATATAAAAGGCTAATATACTCTTATAAAAGATCAAACCGAGGAATACTACCTTTGCCGTTAGCAAGTGATAAAAGAATGGCACAAAATCTGTAAGATTCCTGATAAAATGACTCTTTAAAAGGCATTAAAATGCCCTTACTTACAAGTAACTTTCAAAAGCAACTAGGTGTTATTTTTATATTGTCTGGCCTAGAATCACTCATAGGGCTACTTGTAATGCACCTGTTCTATGTATGAAGAGACTTGTCATACTGATCAATTTCCTGCTACTCAGTGCAGTGAATTGCACTACTGAATCGACTCACTGAATTAATGAGAATTTGCTGAATCAACTGATCCATAAGTTCTACTGATTCAAATGGAACTACTTTATTTGTGACTTACTTTAGCATAGTAAGTCACAGTTAGAGGAGGCCCATGAGAATCAACAGAATTCATGGAGGAGTTGACTCACTAATTCCCCAGTGATTCAGTGAGCCTACTCCAGTGTGATTTACTATGCTAAGCAACAGGATTTTGGCGATAGTCTGTATACAACTGGCAGTCATCTGTCTGATGCAGAAAACATGGATGCACACAGAGGAATATATGAATATATCCACAAATTTATAAAATTCTATATTGAATTTTTTATGTGTGAATCAAATATAAAAGGAGTTTTGGAACATAGGGCTCCACATGATGTTGTTGACAAGAAATCTGTATTTTAAGAATTATTACATTGGTTAAAACACACACATACATGCACACACCTGGCCAAAATCCCATTTGCTTACTTGACTATTTAAGGATGATTGTATAAACATTGCCTCCTGCTGCAGGCTCCCTTTTGTATGTCCAGTCTCACACTTGCTGCAAAATCAGAGGTGCAAGCAGTTCCTCAACTCATTAATGAAGGGGAGTTGGCAGGAGGGGGAAAGACCACAGTGCAATTGCTCTTACATTGTATGGTCTTTCTCCAGTTGGATATTGGCCACTCTTTCTTTATTTGCTTGGTCATGATCCACATAAAATGTATAAAGATGTTTACCCAAGAAATAGATGATCACACATGGATGTGCATTTCATTTGATCAATGTTACATTTTGTAACTATCTGTTTTATCTACTCAACATAGATATGGTGTGGAAGTGAGAAAAATGGCAGTGGGTACATGGATAAAACTTGAATATAGCTTTAAAATAGTAATCCAAAAGGTTGCACATATGCATAGAAAACATCACATTTACTATGCACTGCATGATACAATATTACATACCCTGTTCCTCTTTTCAGAAACCCTATTTTTTTTGTTTGAACTTTAATTCAATCCAATAACACAGTTTGCAAGTGAGATTATATACCTAATTAGGTTCACTTGCAGCATGAACTATCTATCTAGAAGCATCTTGTTTACTGTTTATTTAAATCACAATGGTTTTGCTCCCAAATCACCTTCGCAAAATCCATGTTCATGAGATAAGATTTCCCCTCACATCTTTCCACCTGCAGCCTCTTGCTTCCCTTAGAATAATTTCAAAGAGACTGGGAGACCCTGAAGAAAGCAGTAGGGTATGGTGTGCAGGGCTGTTGATGGTGTTGATAGATTGCTCCCTCCCTTAAGTGAACAAATGCACAGGTTGGGGTGCAAGCCATTGGATCAATCCAAGCCCCCCTCCTCTCCATTTACAATCCTTATATCATCTTAATTACACAAACTTTGTCTTATACAAATGCCAAACTTCCAAGATTGAACATGCTTTTGATTCTAGGTCTTCCTAACTTATTTCTTCAGACAAAATTAAGTCTGGTAAAGTAATAGCCTACCAACAAAATTACTTATAAATTGTAAACATTTTTTCCCACTATAGCCGTATCTTTATGAAAATCCCGTTCAAAATTTCAAATCAACACAGGCAGCAAATTCAAAATCTCAAGGGATCATTACAAAGATGCACTACATTTTTCCTAAAGAAAGAAAAATTGCTAAGATATCTGAAGATGAGCAAAATACTAAAATGCATGTCGTTATCATGCATATATGAAATGCACTTCATCATATGATTAATGTTACAAAAGTTTAAATTCCCCTCACATTACAAGTTAAAAATATGTATTACTTGTATTAGGAACATAGGTATTTTGCCAGATAGGATCCTAAACACCTGGTAAGCATTTGTGTCTTAATAGTCTTACCTACTCCAGTTGTTAAAGGAGAACTAGTACGTGGAGGTGTAGCTGGAATGTTCTTAGGTGGAAGTGGAGGAGGTGCTGCATGACAAAAGGAGGAAATTAAAATAAAAGTTTGACAAAGTTTGACAAATGGACAATGATATCTTACTCAGTGATATCCAGAGGTCAAGTCAAAATATGGCTGTGATCCAGAAGCCACTACTCTTTGTGCAGGGCCCCCAGATTTTACTAGTCTCTCCTCATTCCTGTTGTAGCCCTCCACCACATCCCATGCTGTTCTGGAAGGTCCTTTGCTCCTCCTTGTTGTAGGTGCAAAGGTTACACAGAAAAGATTTGTTATGCAGGCAATTGAACACAAAATGTATGGTTGGGAAAAATGTGCTGTTGGTCATTGATAGAGGTGCAGTTGAAGGAACAGAAAAAATACTAGACAGATTGCGCATATCTGTTCAATAGGAACAAGCCTCTCAGCATCAGTGCTTGTGGGGTTTTGCAGTGAGTATGCTGGTAAGGATCATAGCCATGGCTTCTGGCAGGTTGTTTTTCACAGTTGGAAAATGGGCTTTTAAAAAAACCCTGCTGCAGAAGACAAAAGGGCTCTGTTGTATAAGTAGATTTCTGTTTATGATACCCCAACATAATGTCTTAACAAAATGAAGAGCTGCACAAATGCAGACCTACCTTTAGAGACTTATTCTAAAAATAATAATGGAAAAGCAGGAAATGAATACAACAGACAGAATACAAGAACAAGCATTCATGTGTATTTTTCTGATATCAAGCAGAAGTCTACTACTGATATGTAGAAACCATAATGTCTACAAAGGACACAGCATTTTCTCAGTTAGTGACAAAACAATGTTGGCAAATGGTAATCACATGAGAAATCCTGAGTTAAATTTGTTTAAAATAAACCAATTATAAAAGGATTCTTTTATGTACAGTATTACTCCAGTTATAAAGTTTATCCATAGATGGTGAAATGATTATCTTAGAGTGCACTTATTTTGGGATTGAGGCATGATGTTGGCTGCATGCTAATAGGCAGTAAGATACGACTGTAGATGTCATGATTTTAAGGGTCCACTGTGAGACCTATCAGTTTATGTATTAAAAAGAAATCAAAAAAGTGGCCAGAATCTTATTGGGATTTTACTTTGGAGTAAGTGACATTATATAATCATGGTAGAAAACTGCAGCTAATTAATGAAGTGCCAATTACATGTCTGGTCACATGGCACATGACCACCACCTTGCTGTTTAGCTGCAATTTGATACTACATTATTTTTCTAGCTGCAGAGTAAATCTTAGCAGGATTCCAGCCAGTAAGTTTTGATAGGTCCTTTATTAACATTCTATTGACTTTCATTGGCTTTCAACTCATAGGCCAAGGAGCTGGAAGATATTAAGGCACTGCATGCCACTGTCCACAGGGACGTCAGCGAAACTATTTCAAAGAGACATTTTCAAACAGTGACCCACTCCAACACTGTGGTCTAGTGGTGGCCAAGGACTCAATCTGAAGGTGAAAGGCCTATGAAGATTAGCTGAGATCACTGAACCCAGAACCTATGTGGGCTATCCAGGAGAGGAAGGTGATTCTTTAGAGTTGCTTCTGCTCACAGTGAAAGCAAACAGCTTTATAGTAGGAGCTGATGTATTTATGTCACACTGCACTGGTTGCTAGGTGACTGCCATGCTGATAAGGAATAGAGTTGAGCTTTGAAAATTGAGATCACAAAGGCTTTTCTCCCAAGAGACTTAGATCCGTCTCTTTTGCCTATTCTGAAAGCTGAGTTCCAATGCATAGTTCAACTAATATCTCTTTGTTCCTATGACATTATAATGGGCAATAACTTTAACAATGCTACTTCCATCTCACATTTCAGTGTTTTTTAACAAGGGGAAAAAACAACAACACACAAACACAGTGGTAGACATTTTAAAAACAGGAGATGCTTTAACTTACTTCCAGATGGAAAAGTTCGTGATGCATTAGGAGATTCTAAGTTTTCTGGTTGCACTGAACCCCACACTTCAGGTTGATCTATAGGAGCTAAAGCCACAGATATATAGGATGATGCATACAAATCCAAAGTAACACAGGAATTTGATTCCATGTACAGCTTCTTTTTTTTAATCAGTAGAATACAAAGTCATCTTAAATCATTCTAAATAAGGGTTAACCAAGCAAGCAAAGTGGAAATCTCTTCTCTTGCTATTTTGCTTGTGAGAAAAGCAATGGGTATAAAGCAGAGAGCTGTGCTTATGTTTAAAAGCTTTCCAAACAAGCAAGAACCCTGGAAAATCAGAGGGCAAAGACTCTACGTGTAGAGGATATCTCCAGCCGTACCACTTTCATGTGACCACAACAATGATGGGCTAGTGTGGTCCCCTCCTTGCGCACTTATTTAATCCTTTCTTACAATGCCTAGGCAGGGCTTAACTCTAACTGCAACCGTGAACTGACAGGTTATTTTTTCAAAATATGTGTTGTGAAATACACCGTCCCTCCCGGAACAGTAAGAATCATTTGGTGCATAATTTTTTTTGCCCTGGAAATAAACACTAGATGGAACAATAAGAATTATTTGGTGCATTTTTTTTGCCCTGGAAATAAACACTAGAAATCTAATACATAAACTGATGGCTTCCTCATTCATGTAATCAATACAGAAAAGACAATGGAGCTTAAAAATTAACTTTAAAGAACTAATTCTAGTTCCAAGCCTCCTCCCTCCCTATAGGGAGTTACCATTACAGTACATGTTTAATTTACTTTCCCATTGACTAGTACAAGGTTCCAGAATATGGTAGAAAACATGCTCTCTTTCCTAGACCCTTATCACCACCTTAGCATCCACAACACAGCATAAGGCATAGTACAAACTAATTCTTGAACTATGTGATATTTCCTCCATCAAAGAGTGAGGTCGTACCCCTAATACTGTACCTGAAAAGTTACACTTATACTGCAAAAGCAGTGAGATTATTCCTCATTAAGTTACAATGGTAATATAATGTGATTATGCCTTTTTTTACTGGAAAAAGAAATGAATTGCAAGTTATCATTTTTAATGAGTACAGTGCATCCTTTTTGGAAATTTAGGTTTTTGTTAATAAATGTGGAGTTTTCATATACCAAAATAACAGGAAGAACAAGAGACAGAAGTGTCATGAGATTGAAGGGCAGTTTGACTTGTAGTCAGCGATTAAAGGAAAGTGGGATTTTTAATCAACAAGAAAGAGAGAAAATGGAGTCTGTCAGGCTTTAAAAATGAAAGGAAGACATGGGAATGTGAGAAAGGCAGAGAGGTTTTTTTCTTAATTTACAGCCAGCCTGGTACAGCGTGAAACTTGATAAGGATGCAAGGACGAAGAGGCCCAGAGCGCACGGACACAACGAATTCTTTTCTAATTGGAATGGAGATAAACCACCTGCATCTCCATGAGAATTGTGGGCAGAATGGACAGCTACACATCTCTGAGTTGATTGTTTATGATCAAGAAGGAGGAGGTCTGAGGAATGTAGAAAATGGATGATGGGTTATGTGAGAGAGGTTCTTCATCACCATTATCATGGCGTATGCGTCTTTGAGTTGATTGTTTATGATCAAGAAGAAGGAGGTCTGAGGAATGTAGAAAATGGATGATGGGTTATGTGAGAGAGGTTCTTCATCACCATTATCATGGCGTAGAATAGAACTTGATGTAGCTTGAAAGGCAGAGAATGTAGGTAAGAGAAAGAAGGAGGTGGGGCTAGCCCACCTTAGCCCAGTTTTAGTGTTTGTTATTTTTAATGGGAATTAGTTGTTGTATTTAACTATGGTAAGCTTTTGAACATGCTCTTTATGCTAAATGCTTGAGCAAAATCAATCTGTTTCTATGAAACTATATTTTCTTAATAAAAATTAATTATAAAAATCTTCACTAAGGATTGTCTCTTGGATCAGCAGCGTTTGGCAGATCCAGAGGAGTGGTAATGGCCATTGACTAGCTACTAGAGAAGTCCTAATTAACTGAGCTGTTGTGAATTCTTAGGAATCACAAAGCCCATGTGTCTGAACTTGCAAAAGCCCCAGCCGGCATTTTCCCCCAGCTGACTGGTGGGAGCTTCGGAAGGACCGCATAGCGATGTTTCAAGATAGCGATGATTTATCCGGAACGGATTATCGTCGCTATGCGGGGAACCACTGTATTGAGTAAAAGTACTCAGAGGGGCTGCCTTTGAAGACGGTCCGGCGACTGCAAATGGTCCAGAATCGAGCTGCACAGCTGGTGAGTGGTGGGGCCGCTAGGAGACATATCGAGCCAATTCTGATTAAATTGCATTGGTTACCAGTTGCTGCCCGAGCTCAATTCAAAATGCTTGTTTTGACATATAAAGCCCTAAACGGCTTGGGCCCTGAATACCCAAAGGGCCGCCTCCTTCTATATGAGCCTACCCAGCAGTTAAGATCTAGCAAGATCTTTTGAAAGAGCCGTCCCTCAAGGAGGTAAGAGGGATGGCTTGTAGACAAAAGGGCCGTTTCGGCAGCTGCCCCCAGATTGTGAAATGCCTTCCCGACTGAGATTCGTCTGGCGCCCATGCTGGTGACATTTCAGCGTCAGATCAAAACTTTCCTGTTCCAGAAGGCTTTTAATTGAAATAATATCAACTGTGGATCCTGATGGCAATTTTTAGAGTATCTATTTTAATTGTATTTTAATTGTTTTATCTTTTTATTGTATTTGTGAGCCGCCCAGAGACCTTTGAGTATAAGTTAAACAAACAAACAAACTGTTGTTTTAAGGTCAGGCTTGTTCTAGGCACAAAGGCTACACACTGGTGGAGGTTGAGGACTTGCCCCAGCTGCCCAGAGACCTTGGGTATAAATTAAACAAACAAACAAACAGTTGTTTTAAGGTCAGGCTTGCTCTAGGCGCAAAGGCTACGTACTGGTGGAGGTTGAGGACTTGCCCCAGCGTAAAAGGTGGTAGATCCCAGGGTAAAAGGTAGTAGATTTGTGGCTGAGGAACTCCCTGACCTAAGTACCCATGCTCCTTAGGGAGATTCGGTCCTGACAAGAAGTACATGTACTCCCCTGATTCAGTGCTGTGTCATATTAACACAGTTTGGTCCCAACAAGAAGTACATGTACTCTCCTGATTCAGTGCTGTGTCATATTAACACAGCGCAGATTTCAGAAGTCTTATTTACTTATTTACTCTTATTTACTCTACCTATTCATGTTGATATGTAGTAGTATTTGACCACACTATCCCTATGAGTACACCAGATTGCATGTTTTGTTGAATCAGAGGTAATATAAACTCAGCAGCAAGCCAGCTTGCTCTTAGGTTGGGGATGAAACAGGTAGAAGAAGAAGTGTAAAGAAGGTGTGGTAGGAAGTAACAAGAGCGCTGCAAGGTTAAGGCCAAGAGATATTTGGCAATGTCTACTTCTCAATAAATCTTTTAAAAAGACAAACACCCAAAAGTTACTATTTGTTTCCATTTAGGACCACATACCATGCAGTTACCTTAGATAAAGCTTTATCCATCTCCCTTATTCTGCACAACATCATCAGTGCATACAAATAGCCAAAGACAGATTGGCTGGCGCTTATGTCCAGTTCATGTACTTTGTATTTATCTTATTTATTCAGCTTATAAACCACTCCATTTCAGAGGAATCATGTAGATAACAAGAAGTTAAAAACTGATGGAAGGTAAAATAAACAAAATGATTTCTGAATTTTTCATCCTGACAGAAAGCAACATAATAAATTTAATAAGTAACACCTACCTTCTAGTTTATCTTCCTCAAATGCAGATTCTAGGGGTGGACCAAACAGTGGTGCTAGTGCTGTAGTATCTTCTGGTGCTTTTTTGCTGCAGTAGAGTATATAGTATATTGAACAACAATTATTGGTAAGGACCATTTTTTCTGCAGCAAAAGTGAGTTTTGCTGTAAGGGATTGGACCAGTCTTGACCAACCCATCACCTACACAATGGCTGAAATTCTGTTGCTTAGCAGGCGCCAAATTGTAATTTGAACAAAGTGTCCCCACCATGATTCTCTGGGGTCATGCACACATGCTGGCTTCGTGCATGTACGCATGGGCCCTGAGAAGTTACAATCTGACTTATTTCAAGCAACAGGATTTCAGCCAGTAAGTCACAGCTTTTATGCCTCAGTTTAAACGTTGCTGACTATAAGTTTGTGAATACATTTGCCTCTGACTCTGTCTACAGAAGGAAAAAACTCTACAGTATCAACATCACTTTTACAGGAAGTGGCAAAAGCAAAGGGAGTCTGCAGGGCTCTGGAAGCCAAATTATACATTAAAGAAAAAACAGACACGATCAGTGCTAGTGCACAAGAGGCGTGCCCGAGGCAGTCTTTCATTTCTGAAAGACCTGAAATGTTCTTGCTATGATCATCACAAACATCCAACACTTAAGGAATTCCTTCTTCTATTGTAGGATTATCTGTAACATATAGTTAGGTCCTCATTTATCCTGGAACACAACTACCTTATTTCCCACATTGTTTGAATATGAGGTACTCAAATAATGTTACTGTATATACTAATGGCAAACTAATTGGTACATTAGCAGGGGGAACAGAAGAGTGAGAGTGACTGCTTTATTCTGGATTAGCCTGTCTGGAAAGCACTTTAAATATGAACTCTCGGTATAGCAACACTTTGCTGTAGATTTTGCTTGCATTATTCTATAGCTAAAAATGAAGCTTCTGAAGTCTTTTATTTCTTGATAAATGAATACTGGGATTCAAGCCAATATGAACATATCAGTCTCTGATCTAGATTCCTTTCTCTCAATCTCAGACACACGAGAACTCTTCTGTAGTCATTCAGTGCTCACAGAGAATCATCCTGCACCTACCTAGAGTCAATTTTATCTGAACATTTTATTGTAATAATAACTTGATTTTTTTCCACAATTGAAGCCTTAGACTTTAAATCTGGTAATAAGACTAAATCCTGGACAGCCTCTGACACAATAATTTGGAAAACCCTCTGCTCCAACAAAGAAATTCTACGAATATTGGAGCTTTTGAGGTCTTAAATCCCAACATCCCTATTAAAGCTTTCAACTTAACCTTACTAACTGAAAGCCAAAGACCAATAAATAATGAAACAAAAGAAATAGCCACTGCTCCCAGCAATTAAGAGTACATCTTACAAGAGGAAGTGCTTTTGTTAGTGTCATGTTCTGCTGAACAAATTTGCAGACCTTCAATGTAATGTGTTACTTACTATATATTATTTTCAAGGTAACGGGGGCAGAATTATATTCCCTTTGCAAAATATGATTGGAAAAGGACTGTTGTTTTAATTTGTATTTTATTTAATTTATTTTTGGTGTAACAAATAATATTTAATACATTACTATTTTGCTCAAACACCTTTTTGGAGCTTTGAGGAGATGTTTTCAAAACTGAAGAGAGTGGTCTTTTAGACCAGATGGGCGGGGTTTTTCAAAACTGAAGACATGCTCCTAATTTTCACATGAATGATGTGCAGGTAATGAATTTCACAGATTTGTTTTTTGAATCAATACTAATGAGTTTCAGGGAAGGTGGATTTGTAACTAATTACATAATAGTTGAAATCCAGTAGCAAGTCACCAGAGTAGGCCCATTAAATCAGTGAGGATTTGGTGAGTCAACACCTATGTAAGTTTCATTGATTTGATGGGCCTCTTATAGTTGTGACTTCCTACTGGACTTCAGCCAATGAATTTCTCAAAGTCATTGATTCAATGGGCCTGTTATAGTTGTGACTTCCCACTGGACTTCAGCCAATGAATTTCTCAAAGCTTGGAATGTTTCTTCCTAAAAGTGGCTGCACATTTTGCCTCATATCTCCACTTCTAAAAGGCCAAACAGTTTGTATATATGCACCACTATTTCTCATGTACATATGTCTGTACACAAGAAATAGCTGTGCACAAATAACCTTTCAATGTTCTCTACCACACTTGTGGCATGAAAAATTGTGGGGACCACTCCACAGAATTTTGCTAAGGCAAAGAAAATTTCTCCAATAATTTTTCAAATGTGGAGCTCATCATCCTTAACGGTTCTAGCAAAACTTTGTTCCTTTTCCACAACAGATTTTGTTTTTCATACTGCCAATGGAAACAGCATTGTGTTGGCAACCTGGCCACCATTTTGGTTTGTGAATGAGACTCTGTACTTAATGTTATTTTATGGTAGCGGGTCCCAACCTTGGGTCCCCAGATGTTCTTGGATGAAAACTCCCAGAAGCCTTTACCACTAGCTGTGCTGGCCAGGACTTCTGGGTGTTGTAGTCCAAGAACATCTGGCACCCCAAGGTTGGGAACCACTGCTCTATAGTATTTTAGTGGTGACAGTAGACTGTGTGCAAAGTGGCTTATTTCTAGAGGACTGATTGTGCAAAGTGGCCTTCTATTTTAAGCGAAATAAGGAAAAGAATTTTTTTCTGAGGAATTTTGGCTCTGCATTTGTTGCTATTCTTCAGGATTCAGCACATCCCTCATTATTTCCAAATTTCATTTTTCAGGGGTCAAACTTAGAGAAATGTTCTCTCTAAAGCAGATGCTTATAATACTGCTTCTTCAATGTAAGCTCTGCAGTGAGGACAAAAGTGACACTAGTTCTGTGATATATCTGTACTCTAAGTTTCCCCAAATTTTATTTTTCCATAACAGAGGCTTCAATTTTTCTGCCTCATTTTCAGGGACTTTTAAAAATGTTCTTGGTTTTACTTTAAGCTCACTGTAATACTGCAGTGTGGGCAGAAATCTGAAAAGGCCATGTAGAAGGAGTTATTTCATGACATATTCCAGATTTAACTGAAGTCTGGCAAGGGTGAAGGGGTGCAGTTGCCACAGAGATGTTTGCGCACTGAAAGCTATGTTATCTACAGACATTATTTGATCACTTCATATGTAAAGAGAAGAATCCTGAGCCTATGATAATTTATCCAATTTTTTTTCTTATGAGGTTCTTTACAAAGAGTATTTCTTTTCTGTCAGGTTGCTTGAGGATGACCAAAATTCTCATGGGACACATTTTCAGCAGAGCAGTACTCATTACATGTGTCAGTCAGCTCATCTACAGTGTCTGCATTACCATCTGATCTGGGGATTACAGTCGATCTGGAATGGAGAAAACTATCCTCCCTCCCCATCCCACAGAAACTCTGGAGGGAATAATATTTATTTTTCTGTTACTAGAGTGTCTATTTCATAACATTTTTGCCCTGGAGAGAAAAGAGAATGGTAGTTTATGTAAGAGAAGAGCACAGAGTTAAAAGATACGATTTTGCTAGTAAAAAAGACATTCTAGAATGTGTGCATTTTTTTAAAAAAGGAAACAAACACAGAATTACTGTTATGAGACAGTATACCTGATGAATGGCAAAGGTAACAGTACTACTATACGTTATTCCATGCTGAAGATTCCCACATCTTCCCACACAATAAATTATATTTCTTTATACAAACCTTAGAAGTTCTGGAGTAGGTGTAGAACGCCTGGGTCTTGCTATCTCTTCACCTAACACAGCAGACACAAGTTTTAGGTAATTTTTCTCATTCTAGAATAAATGCACATATAACTATTCAATTATGTTCATTGATCTGTTCTCATCAGCATTATAGCCACAGAGAATATGCTACTTAGCATCTGCACAATTTACATTGCAAAAACAACTAGAATGTTGTGCAATTGATGTACTGTATTTTCTAGACTCCTAATTGTGCTCTCAGTTTATTGTGAGGTGCCTCAATAAGGTTGTATGATATAGGTACTAGACTAACTATAGTGGTCCTTAACATAGCAATGGCGATTTGGAAGAAATTTCATAATACATTTCAGTCTGGTTCTGCATCTACTGATCTTGTTTATTTTTAATTTACTCATCCTTTTTACTTATAGTGGATATAATATATGGGTCTTTGTAATATGCAATGCCTAAAAAAATCTACATTCGTTCTTTTACAACCAGATTCTATTATTTGTCATTTCTATGATTTGCACCAATTATTTCTTTGTTTGAAATACTACAGTACAATTAATAAATAGATCAGAGAACATTCACCCAATGATGGGTAACACGAAAAGCATTTGAGGTAGCTAGTGTCAAATCTTCCATAGTATATATTGAGGGGCTTAGGGTATACTGTTCTGGAGTAGGTGTGAAATTGTCTAAAGCCTCATTTTCTTAGACTCACCTGGCCCTGCCAATTCCAGTCCATAGCCTATGAAGTGACTTCAAATTAACCTAGTTGTTCTCTGTGTGACTGGGAATTAGAATTTATTGGGGTTCCATCCATTTTAAGAGGTAGTGATTTATTTCCTTCCTCATTATAATCCTGGCATTCTCTGCTGTTCCTTCAGAAATCATATAAAAAAACTTTCTTTGGTTTTAATCCAGGAGGGGTGGGATGGTAGTAGAAGACTGGATGTACATTTGATGTAGGTGCTTTGAGTCTTTCACTATTAGCTGCTACCTCTTTCTATATGTCTCAGTGTGTAATACCTAGTAGGTTGATTTTAACAATAGGAGTTGGCTTCAGGCACCCAGTATTGATTCTACAGCTTTCATTGAGTGCTACATCTATCTGCACCAATTAATTTATTTTCATGTTGACTAATTTTAAGTGAGTTTTTAAAATCGTATTTCATCCAAATCCTTCATGATTCCAGATATATAACATCTGCTACTTAGGGTCTGTTGGACAAGTTTGCATACGCAGTCAACTGCAAACATTCCATATGCCTTTTTATTTAAAATGCGTCATCTCATTTTCACACAGTCAGAGTTCATTGATTTTAGCTGCTACAAATTCATGCAGAACTTTTCAGTAACAGGAAAAACAGTGTCCTCATTCTATTCTGAGAAGTACACCATTACCAATATATAAAATAAAATCCCCTGTTATCGTCAGTCAGAGCTGAATATTAACAAGTAAATCTGTGACACCTTTGAAGATTCTAGGCATATTTATCTTCCAGAAATATATTATATGCCCCCCATTAAATATGTATATGCATATAGTATTTACTTACTGGATAAGTTCCTTTTAATTGTACCCTAGAATTAAATAAAAAAAAACTACAGTTTAGGACTAGCACCAGAAGTGTAAGACAGTAATATAAATGGCAAAGTAGTTTGTTTGGAAAGAGGAAAATGAAATAAGAAAATCAGCACGATTAAATCAAAATATACATGAACTTGGCTTCATATACTCAAATTTGAATTATTATTCTCCTTCTTTACTAATTCATTCCACTTGTGACTGCCAATCAGTTTGTCTATCATTCTTGAACTGGAACTAGGCTATGCACGTATCTATTCTCTTTCTCCAAAAGAAAAAAGAAAAAACATAATCAAAGGGGGGGGGGGAAAGGACATAAAGATTTACATTTGTAGGTATGTAATTATATACATTATATAATTATTATATTCACTATAATGATGTACAGATCATTTTATTCCTTCATTTCATTTCATTTCATTCATTCATTCATTCATTCATTCATTCCCCTTGCCCATCTAATGACAAGCCACTACTCTGTGCAGCTTACAACAGAAAATAAGCAGAGTAAAACCATAACAAAAGACAAACTCACCCCCATACCTAGAAAAACACTTAAACAAACTATGCATATAACTGCCCAAAATGGCAACAGCAATACTACCACATTCAAATAAAAATTACACAATTGAACAATAGATCAACTCAAGTCAAATCAAATAGGGAGAAGGTTTTCTAAAGCCTATCTGAAAAGCAATATTTTAATCTCTCTTTTTAATGTAGTATAGATTAAGAAGAAATGCAAAAACATCTCAGCATAATAGTGAAGATTGTGACCACGTGACTGACCACGTGACTGAACAATCCATTTGTTGCAAGCTTTCAAACAGTGACTGTCCTGTAACATAAGGACTATGTCGCTGGATATAAAATAGTTTAGAACTGGGTTGTGCAAATGTCCCTAATTACACACACTGGAACAGCACCTTTGATTGAAATAAAAAATTGATTCAACAGACCATGATATTCTAGAATTGGAGTAACTGATCTCCTGACGACCACATTCAGAGTTAAAAACAACAACAACACAAACCACATCGTTTACGGGATATTTCTGAAAGTTTTTCCTCTTAAGCATTTGCAAAACTATGACTGATGTTCCCTTTGACTGGCATTATTTTTCCTGTTTAGCTGCATCTAAAGGAAATAGTCACGAGTTTGAAATCTGGTACTGATGAGTTTCAGTCTCGCAAGACGAATTCTTTCTTCCCTTACATTACAGTATTGAAGTTCTACTGCATCCTACTGCAAATTGCACCAAACATCTACAGTATGGAAAGGTTACATCATATGTCCATCCTTTAACCTTGGAGGGCTGAATCTGCTCCTACAGCTCCCACCCTCATTTTTTAAAGAAGCTACAATAAAGAAAGAAACACTTGAAAGAACGAAAAGAGAGAGATAAACCTTCAAGAGTAGGACAAAAATTGGAAACTATGCATGCAAGTACAAAAGGAACACCTCCCAAAGAAGATGAGAATGAAGTCACAGTCAAACCCATGACTAGAAGCCTTGGCAAGAATCAGTTGTTCTGAAATTGTCCCAGACACATTATATACGATATGCACATGGTAATCACAATTGTGTAGTCACAAAGAGTAATTTGCTTTTGTTGTAGTTTAGTTCACAAAGCCAATTTAAAGTAAATTTAGATTACAGTCATCCCTCCAGTCATGTCTACTAGTGAGTTAACATGGAAAGCAATACAGCTCCTTACCGGGCTACGCCTCTGTGATCAGCAAAAGGGAAAGAGAACAGACACCTAATCAGAGAGTGACAATCAATGATGACAACGACAACAACAATAAAAAGATTTTGTATGAAGGCTGGCCAAAGACATTTTGCACGCTGACGCGAAAACCAAATTGCCATTCCCCCACACTGACCTTCCTAAACAGACAGATAATTGACTAGATAATATCCTTTACCACACCTGAAGGTGTGCATCTTAGTGGAGAGCAGCAGGCTAACCTAGCCAGTTGAAAACTGCTAAGATAAGATGTTTTAAGATGCTCTATTCTTCTACTGTGGACAATTGTGCTAATTGTCCATGCTTGAAGAAGTCACTGCCTGGGGATTGTGGGAAGTATCATTAAAAAGTAACTTTACAAAGTTCTAATAATTCTGCATGCTTTTAAACTTTCTCTGTGTTGAATACACAGACCAGTCAAATCCAGAATGAATTTCAAGAAAAGAACATTCTGAAAATGTATACAAAGACAGCTGTGACTCATCAAACAGCCTATTCAACAGACTCCTGGGACTTCAGATAGAAAAAAAGAGACATCACCCATGGTTTTTATTTTAAAAACCAGGTTGTTGTTGTTGGTGGTGGTGGTTGTGTCCAGATTTAACTTTGCTATAACATTTATAATCCAGCTTGTGGAAGGCCTTTCCGTGGGAGGCTAGATTGGCCCCTTCCCTTTTATCCCTCTGAATACAGGCGAACACAATCTTATTTAGACAAGCTTTAACTATTTAGGCAGTTTTTGATCCTCTGCACTGGATACTTTTTTCATTTTTTTAAAATGCATGTTAAGAGGTTTTAAATAGTTTTAATAAATAGTTTAAATGCTGTTACATGTTTAATTGATTTTTAGTGTTATAATTTATTGTGGTTTTAGTTAGTTTTTAAAATAATTTGTGGGCCACCTTGGGTCTCTTTATTGGGAGAAAGGTGACATACAAATACAAATGAAAATAAATAAATATATAGCCAGTTAAGATAAATAACGTGAGAACTATTTATTTATTTATTTATTTATTTATTTATTTATTTGTTTGTTTGTTTATTTGTTTATTTGTTTATTTGTTTATTTGTTTATTTATACCCCACCCCCCCTAGACAGCGTCTACTCGGGGTGGCTTACAAAATCATAAAATATCATAAAATAACAATAAAAACCGCACAATCAAATAAGCAACATTCATAATAAAAAACACTTGAACATTAACGAGGCTGGAATTGCTAAAACAGTGCACTTCAAGTGACACAGTATAAAAACCCTGCCATTTTGTATTACACTGTTGCACTGAGAAGTTAATCTGAGCTCTTTCCTCATGATCATATTTTTTTTTTTCAGCTAGATTCTTCAGATCTTTAGATTTGGACACTGTAGGTGCTCAGAAAATGCCTAATCAGAAAATGCCTAATTAGAATGCAAAGATACACAGTTAGGCTCAGACGCAATTGTGCTTATAGGTCATACATTGAATTCAATGGGGCAAATAAATCATAATTAACATAAACCCCCTTGAAATGTGATGCATTAGACATTCCAATTTGAGTGCACTGTCCTAAAATTTTGGCCCCAATTACAAAGAATAAGGTGGTTTTGTTTTTTGTGGTGGCAGCTGCACTCTAACACATTCCTATATACCAGGATGGGAAATTCTGGCTCAGACGACTGCCCAGCTGGAGGGAACGTAGAATGGCACCATGGTGTCAGTCCTGCTATAAAAACATTTTACCCCCTGAGCCAGTTTCCCAGGCCTGTTTCATGTTCCCTGCAGCTGCATTTAAGTCTTTTTAAAAAGACTATTAGGGGAGTTAGTTACAATCCTTTCGTCTTACATGCAGCCTTTTTTCCCACCTAGAAATATAGATAAAGAAGGAAAAGGCTTCTATATGAAGGCTGGAGGCAACAATTGTATGGAAGACTAGTCAAGGTCTCTCTCTCTTGCCTTTCTGTCCTCCCCTTGTTGGGAGCAATTTGACAACCTGAGAGTTATATTTTGGTTTTAATCTGCAGCAAGAAGTGAGTAAGGAGAAAGGCAGATACATGAGTGTTCAGAGGGGAGTTACTGTATATTAATTTGTGTATTAGTAAACAGGCATTCAGACAGACAGATATGGCACACTCAGTTTTATAAAAAGTACATAAATCTTAAAATTTCATTTATATTTTTAAAAATAACATATGATTACATAAACCACTTTCATTTTGGGTTCTTGCCTACCAAGAATACTTATATAAGTTCTTAAGAAAACTAATATAGTTGGGATATCTGGTAACTACTATTCAAAATGCACAGATACTCTCCCACCCGTCCCCAAAGGGCTTCATTAAGATTCATGATGATTCATTTGGATGGCTATAAAACAACACGAGTTCTAAATGTACAAGAATGTTTTCCCTTTTCCTTCCAGTAAATATTCTCTGTCATTTTCATTTTTCATTGCACATTATACTCAGGGCAAAATGTTTCTTCAAATACAGATGTAATCAATATATGTATCTTTTTCAACATTTTGGCTTCAGACCATCAATATACAGCCCCTACCTAATGATACATTTAGTGATGAATTGTTGTGTAGGGAAACTGAACCCAACTCTTTCCTGAAAACAGGGTATCTACAGGATTTTAGTGCTGTTTGTGACAGCAGTATCAAAGGCTTATAAAAGAGCAGGGTTTATATACAGCATCCCTTTAGATGTGTGATCTCCGTAGATATATATCATGCTTGCGAAACTCTTATGCACACATATATTGAAATCCTGTTGCTAAGTATAATAAGTCATACTAGAGGAGACCCACTAATCAATGGGAATTTGGTGAGTCAGCTCCTCCATTTGTTCCATCAATTCTAATGAGTCTACTCTAATTGTGACCTCAATGTAGTAAGTCACAACTGAAATTGGCCACATTGAAACAATGGAGTGGATGGAGGAGTTAGCTATCCAAATTCCCACTGACTGGATTAATGTTTTTTAATGCAACTTACTATACTAAATAACCTTGCCATGGATATATCCTATCCATTCCCTGACAGGACATATGTGCCAATGTAAATGAAATAAAACTACTATTAGCCTACCCTTTAATTTATTACTGCAAGTGTTTCTCACACTTTATTATGGCCGGATAATTCAGAGAAGGAGCCAAACTAACCTATCAACAGAACAAAACTCCATCTCTAGATTAGGTTCATAATACTGGCATTAGATTGTTGTCTTTATATTGTTTAAACACTCAAAGAAGGCAAATCATTTTGTGAAATGAACGGGGGCAGGTGAGCAGCCCAAGCTTAACACCAGGCAGGATGAAACAGTCCACTTCAGATGGCAAATTGAAGGAAAATAAATAGTGATTTATTCATAATACTTCATATCTGAAATGTAGGGAATTTGGATTTTTGCCTGAAGTATCAAAATAATCATGGACTGTCTCTGTTTCAGCTACTTTTTATGGTGGCATCAAAGAAACTTGAGACACTTCTGTAATACTGTGACACAATTAGCTGAGTGCTCAGTTAAAGCACTAATAAACTGCCTCAACACTGTATGCTTTAAAAACAGGAGTGGCCCTTGTCAGGCTGCAGTTTCCATTGGGCAGGAATGTGAGGAAATGTGAGGGCTGCTGAGACCTGCAGTCCAACAACATCTGGAAGTCCATAGTTGCGTATCTCTTGTTAAAAAACAACTTCTTTCTTTCAGGAACAATCAGGAACTGGAGGAAACATTATAGAGGTTTATAATGACTCCAGGAAATTTGCAGAATCCAGATTTCTTCATTCCTGGAATATAAACACTAAATTCCTATTCATTTTTGCAGTGAGAAATTCAATTCTACAAAATGCATTATATTATCAGTTGCATACGATGCAAAAATGCCCAAATACAGCAAAATGGCCAGTTCTGATAATGAAAACCCCATGGACATTGATCAGTGGCACAACCATTAAAGTTTTCTAATTGGACACTTTGGGGTCTACAAAGAAGTAAAAAATGGATCAAGCACGTTAAAGAAAAATATTAGTTAAACTGGCAGAAATTAAAATGTGAAATTATTTCTTACCGGACTTTTCCTCTATAGTATGCATTATAAATGAAGAAAGGAAAAGAAATTTTCTATTCACAAAAGTTTTAAAATATCAGTCTCCATGAAATGACACATCATCATCATCATCATCATCATCATCATCATCATCATCATCATCATCATCATCATCATCATCGCAGCAACCCTAAGAAATAAATCCTATTTATTGTAAAAAACAGAGTTTTGCCTTAGCATATGAGTAATGATGTTACTTGTAATATGCTAATTTTGGTAACAAGGAGATAACAATGGTCCCTTTAAAATAAATTATATGATTACATTTCTTTCCCCTCTCTAATGAGTAAATAATATTTTTCTGGCTGTCTTTTTCACTTTTGCAGTAAAAATGCTTTTGGAGCACATTTCAGGATACTACCTTTTCAGATGAATTTTTAATGGAGTAAAAAAGTAATACTGTAAAAGGCAATGGATAGCATAATATGTTAGGGTGAAAACAGTAATGCTAATGAGCTACCTCCTGGTCCCATAGGCAGTTACATAACATTAGTTATACGAAGTAATTTTCCCAAGCTAAGAAATGCATTTAGGATTGCAGTGTAAATGCACTAACAGATAAATCATGAATGGTCTAAAAGCCTATCGGATGTAGAAGAAGAAGAGTTCATACAAAATTGCATATTATATGTGCAACTCAATCCCACTTGGATTGAGCCAGAAATCAGTGGGGTGTACTCCCAAACAGTGAAGGTTGATGACTGATTTCACAGGGACAGTATATGCACTCTGGTTTTCAACCCAGAAGGACCTGACCAAGGTGCTGAAGCTATTTTGGGGAATGAGATAAGCACTTTGGATAACTTCTGTAAACATGAACTCTAGACTAGATTCACCATGCTTATGAAATTGGAGTCATGAACTTTCATTGCTGTTATGGGAGTGAGCATAGGCTTTCACACTTACATTTCAAATGCCAAGTTGCACATTTCTGATATAGCAAATAAAGTGAAATTGTACCTGTAACAGGTTTTTTTAAAAAATGCCAAGTAGCTTAAAACTGCCACAACAGACACCATATTAATAAGTATGAAACATTAATTAATCGAGAGCATTTATCAATTGTTTATCCGCACACAAGGTCTCCTAAAACCAAATACAACAAAGTAGACAAAAAGCATTTAAAACAGATTAACAATTATTTTGAAAAGGCAAGTTCTAAAAACAAGTTTTTAAAACAAGAGGCCACACAGAATGGTATGGTTTCCCTTGCTTCTGGAACTTCAGCTGGGAGGAAGTTGTTTGCATTTCCTTTAGAGAAGCTTTTGTAAGTGCGATGCTCCTGCAGAGCTAGCCCTGACTTGTGTACTCATCAATCTAGCTTCTCAGAGTAGAAAGACTCACTAAAGGGCTTCCACTAAAGATCTCAAATTCTAGGCAGCTCCTATGGCAGGAGGCAACCTCTAAGATAATGGTTCCCAACCTTGGGTCCCCAAATGTTTTTGGACTGCATCTTCCAGAATTTCTAGCCAGCACAATTAGTGATGAAGGATTTGGGGCACTTTCATCCAAGAACATCTGGCGACCCATGGTTGGGAATCACTGCTAAAATATCCTGGCTGCAAGTTGTTTAAGAATGCATAAGTCAGAACCAGCAACTTGCATTGAGCTCATAAACAAATTGGAAGCCAGTGCACCTGTTTGAAAACCAGTGATACATGGAAGCACAAATCAAACAAGAATCTGGATGCCATATTTAGCATTAGATGGAGCTACTGCCTTTCAACTCCTTCACAGTTTGCTGCCTTGTCATGGTGAAGGGGCTTGAATAATTCAGAGAACCTATGGGCTACGCTTTACAGCGACACCCAAGACGGACAGGTCATAATGGAGAGTTATGACTAAATGTGATCCACCTAGAGCAGGAACTGGCAAGCCACTCCAGTATCTTTGCAAAGAAAACCCCATGAACAGAAACAAAAGGCTAAAAGATATGACGCTGGAAGATGAGCCCCTCAGGTTGGAAGATGTCCAACATGCTACTAAGGCAGAGTGGAGAACAAGTACAAGTAGCTCCAGAGCTAATGAAGTGGTAGGGCCAAAGCCGAAAGGATGCTCAGGTGCAGATGTGCCTGGAAGTGAAAGGAAAGATGTGCCTGGAAGTGCAAAGAAAAATACTGCATCGGAACCTGGAATGTAAGATCTATGAATCTTGGGAAGCTGGATGTGGTCAAACAGGAGATGGCAAGAATAAACATTGACATCCTGGGCATCAGTGAACTAAAATGGATGGGAATGGGTGAATTCAATTCAGAAGATTATCATATTTGTTATTGTGGGTGAGAATCCCATAGAAGAAATGTTATTATGGGTGAGAATCCCATAGAAGAAATGGAGTAGCCCTCATAGTCAACAAAAGAGTTGGAAACGGTATATCGGGATACAGTCTCAAAAATGAGCGAATGATTTCAATATGAATCCAAGGCAGACCTTTCAACATCACAGTAATACAGGTTCATGCACCAACCACTGATACTGAAGAGGCTGAAACTGACCAATTCTGCTTTTGAATTGTGATGTTGGAGGAGGCTCTTGACAGCATCTTAAAAAGCAGAGACATCACCTTGCTGACAAAAAGTATTGTTAGTTAGTTAGTTTGTTTGTTTGTATAAAATATCCCGCCTATCTGGTCATTGTGACCAGGTCCGCATAGTCAAAGCTATGGTTTTTCCAGTAGTGATGTATGGAAGCAAGAGATGGACCATAAAGAAGGCTGACCCCCAAAGAATTGATGCTTTTGAATTGTGGTGCTGGAGGAGACTCTTGAGAGTCCCCTGGACTGCAAGGAGAACAAACCTATTCATTCTGAAGGAAATCAACCCTGAGTGCTCACTGGAAAGACAGGTCCTGAAGCTGAGGCTCCAATACTTTGGCTTTCTCATGAGAAAAGAAGACTCCCTGGAAAAGACTCTGATTTTGGGAAAGTGTGAAGGCAAGAGGAGAAGGGGACAAAAGAGGACGAGATATTCGGACAGTGTCATCAAAGCTACAACATGAATTTGACCAAACTCTGGGAGGCAGTGGAAGACAGGAGGGCCTGGCGTGCTCTGGTCCATGGGGTCACGAGGAGTCGGATATGACTTAACGACTAAACAACAACAACAAACTGCCTTTCAAAAGAAAAAAGATCTGTTTCTATATCTGTTTTACACCTGATAGCAAAATTTTCATTAACTAAAAATAGTTAAATTATTTGCTTCTGATCCATTAAAAATGCATAAGAAATTCTATTTTTCAAATGGACCTTTCTTGGGTATTTTTAACTGCACCTTTGTCTACAGTTGCTTTGTTAGCTAGGCAAGTTCCTCAGCATCCTTCTGGTACTGTTGACTTAATAAAGAGAATAACAAGAATATGCCAATTATAGCTTACCATCATCAAATTTATCCTAGCTAATAAGTATAATAAACTACACTACTTCTTGATAATTGGAGATGATAGATCTGATCCAGTAAGCCATTGAAGAAACATATCTCAGCCTGTTTTCTGCATAAAAAAGTAATTATGAAAGTCTATCACATCATTTGAGAATAGAACTCATGGCTTTCATATTACAACACACTTCCTTTGGAAATCTAATAGAGACCTATTATAGCTCCGGGAGGCAGTGGAAGACAGGAGGGCCTGGTGTGTTCTGCTCCATGGGGTCACAAAGAGTCGAACATGACTTAACAGCTAAACAACAATAGCTCAGCAGAAGGCTCAGTATACTTCCTCCATCAGACTCAACAAGAGGCACCTCTCATCCAGACTTATTTACAGTTTTTAAAAATTATTTGTCCTCTTTTAAGGAATCTGCTGAACATTTTTCACAAAAAAATCAGAGCACATGCAAATCTTATTTTCTTATTCCCAGTAATGTTTCTGGGAATAAGAAAATTTGTGTCTTATATAGATTCCTGGCTGTTTCTCCTATTCTTTCCATTATTAGCTACTGCAATATCTTACAAATGTTGCTTGCTCCCAAATATTTACTAAAAGTAGGCTACAGAATAAAGCCAAGCACGGCTATGTCTCTTGGCTTAATTGATATAGATGGAGGAGAGACTGCATATTCAAAAGGTTAAAACAATAAGAAAACAGAAAAACTAAGTACCCGGTAAATGCATGCTTACATACACAGATCTCCATCTCCTTTAAGTGTCAAGATTGTAAATTGGACTGTCGAACAACAGAGAAAACCTACAAGCAAGACGCACTCAACTGATGATGGTAGCAGCAGAATGTCATCATTTGAAATTTTGTACCAATGAAGTATTAAATGATTAAGGAGATATAAGAATTGTAACCCTAGAAATGTGAGATGTGATCACAAAATGGAGGTTTAAACAGTAATGCACTGCCTTTTAGAGGTTACTTTGGGACAAACAGCTAGTTTTGCTAAAGAAGTAGAATACATGTAGAAGTCTATTGGCTTCTCAAGACTAGCAAACTATATTGTAAGTGAATAGGGTTCATTACTGAAACGGAGCCCATAGCAAAACCCATTACTTTCGCTAGGGTAACAACAGAAGGAGATGTTTATTTTCCTAAAGTGTGAATCCTTCCCAGTCTAGCAGAATCTAGAATAATTTTATTCGCCTGTTAATTAATCCAATCTGCAAGTTAAGCAAATATATATCAACAAAGATAGGGAAGCGTACATATCTTATGCCTGTAAAAGGACTAGATCCAAGCATTGGCATCAGCTCGATTTGATCCTCACTAGACGTTCTAGCCTTCCTAGTGTTACGATCACACGCAGCTACCAGAGTGCTGATTGCGATACTGATCACTCCCTGGTGTGTAGTAGAGTAAAACTGCGAACAAAGAAATTGTATCACACGAAAAAGGAAGGAAGACCACGTATTGACATCAACAAGACTCGCGATCAAAGAAAAGTGAAGGAATTTGCCCAAGCACTCGAGGAAACCCTTCCAGGTCCAGCTAATGTAAATGCACCTGAACGATGGGAACACTTCAAGAACACTGTC